CATCCCAGGTTTACAAAAGATCAAAATTGCGAAATAACGTTGCTTAAATTAGTGTTTTAAAACGCTAGAAGAAAAGACTACAACTGCCGTTTCGTAGATATTTGCATAATGTTTATCTTTGGAAGGGTTTAAATGATAACATCTTATCTGTATACTCTGTTGTTGACGATTCTGATATAACCAGTGATAAGCTTTCCGTCGCAAACAATGCGTGTTTATCTAACGTCCATTGTCAGCATTATTATCAGTCGAGACTTCGTCTGAGAAACATGGTCATACAGTCCGAGCATGCAGTACTCATTTCGCCCAACCTTCCGCTTTTACATCGACCGCTTATCGCTTAATTTCCGACCATGCGGTCTTGTCCGTCCGGAAACCTACCGCATTTTAATCGCGTCTTTTTTCGCTAGCTCGCTCATTGAAACACCGACCGCTCGCCCAAACACGGATCACTGGCACATGAGTGGTCGAAATGGTGGTTTTGATAGTAAAGTGTGAACATACAACTAGTATTAACTACGTATCATTAAATTCTGAACGACACTTCAAATCTAATAGTTGTATTGCAACTGAACTGTGACCTCTTGTTACATGTTTTGGGTGCTTGTTCTAGATGTACTATTTTTGATTATTTTAATGACATAACTCATTTTGACAAAGCAGAGAAACGAGGAAATGTTAATGATTAATTCCAAAAATAACTATACCGAATCCATGTCGCTCCATGTCTGGTAAAATTTGACATTCAATTTTCAAAAATAAGTCACGAACATTGAACGAGTTCAGTCTATACCGTATACGTACCGTAAAAGTGTTCCCACAAAAAACATTTTCGACTAAAAACGGCCACATGCCCTGAATAAATCGAACAGAGCTTGAAATGTATGAATAATTTATTGGGCTTAAAAAAAAAACATGTCAAATTTAGTTATAAATATTTGGTGGCCAGTCGATGAACAATTCAGGGCTGAAAATCATCGACCATACTCTGGTTTACTTTATTTCCCAGCCGTGGACTCTAAGTGGTATCTAAGCCTAGTATTTTCTTTTTGAACTGAGGTTAAATTCCATCCGTTTGTCAAAATATACCAATGTTTTTCAGCGAATAATTTTGAAGCCTGTCACACCACAAAAACACTATGCGACTCGACGCCGGAAATTGGATGGTACGATGACCCACCTCCCTCAACACCTTCAATTAACGTCAAATATGCTTTGTTACGACATCATTGATCATTCGGAGCACTACCTGGGTCACAGAACCATATTTGTCCGTGTTATCAACAGGACCTCGCAAAAGAACCACACCCACATTTTCAATCTTTTTCAGAGCGGAACTTGCCAACAAATGTCAAAAAACTCGTGAATTTCATGGATTTGAATAAAATAAAACAAGTGATTAATAAGAATGATTATTAATATTTTCCCTGATGCTCTTCGAATAATTTTTTATTTCAAGGTAAGAAATGGCTAGTTGAAGTTGCATCGACTTCAAGGCGGCTGTTTCACCGCAAACAACTCTAGCTCTGTTGTAGTTTTGCGTAAAATAATATATATATTATAATAATAATAGTACTTGTTTAATTATTTGGGGTTTCAGCCCACAAATTACGGACATGACCCCCATGAATTAGGTAAATGTTTGTCCTGTTTCGGCTGATTGTGCTGATCGACGCCCTTCCTAAACTCAGTATGGAGAAACCAACTGGGATCGACATTCCAAACAAATTATTGGAACACGGTAAATAGACATTCCAAACAATCGAAATTATCAACGGAAAACGAGATTTTTCTAGATATTTACAGACATACTGTCATGAAAAACATATGTAAAATTAACAAATACACAGAGGTGTAATATTAGGTTTTATTTTAGGCTTAGAAATATTTCCTTTCACTCAGCCTTTGCATGAAACTGCCATTTAGCTTCATGGTCCTTCAGCTTGTCATTGCCTCGGGGGAAAACAACAATAATAATACAAAACACATTGCGAAGACTCAACAATCAGGAAAGAAAACCCAGACAACCATGTCGTACTTGTGTTGAAATACATTTTGTATTTCACGTCAGAATATTGTTCAAAATAAAATATTCAATCCAAGCCAAATCGCGGAAAGGATCAGATTGCGTGCATATAATTATAGATAGTTAAAACAAAAAGTATTTGAACTTTTGTCAGCTGTTGAACATTCATAAAAGCAGAAAGACAATTATAAGACAATGTGAACGTCGGAAATTTTTCAATTAATCCTAATTTCAAATGTGCGCGAGCGAGCGGGCAGTGATATTTCGGGGTTTGCGCGATCGAAAATAAAGCGGAAATTGTCCGGTCGAACTCAACAAGTGGTCGCAAAAGCGAGTGAAAAAGGTGATTGGAAAGTGGAAGCGGTGGGAGGTTGTGCGAAATAAGTACTGTAACTTTGCTCAACTTTCTTTTAAATCGTTTTATTTTCCAAGTCAATATTCTATTTTACTAATACCATTTTTTCTAATGCAATGGCGAAGAAAAGAAAGCGTTGACAGACGGGCAAAGACAAATCTGCCACTCAGTGTCGCAATCTGAAACAGCAATTTTTTTTCAAACATCGGCCATTTTGTTTCACCATGAAAACCGTTTTATTAGATCACTTATCAGAGACACTTGAAGGATTAGCTTGTTTGTAAACTGTCAGCGTGTACAGTGGGACAGTAATGTTTGTCAGAGGATTATCCCTCGTTGTGCGTTTGCATAACAATGGAAACCCGAACGTTCCTGGAGTACGGACTCAAATGCCAACAGTTTTCTTCATTTTTCACGCTCGAGCTTGAAATTATTCATTATCTGACACTTTTGATGAGTTCTATGATATAAGAGGTTGATATTTTTGGCAATTTTTAGTGTATACTAGTATTTATAATAATGCAGCAAATCTACAGTGTTTTATTAACCAAAACTGTTTTTCGCGTTTTTCTCGAGTTGAACTTTTGACTGAGTACGACTCATTGGGACCGCCGCCAAATCAAGTGCGTT